CCGCTGGCTGGGAACGTGGGAATGAGCGCGTGGGCGGAGCTGGCAGGGCAGGTAGGGATGGGCTAGCAGGAGCCAGTCGCGAGTCCCAGGGTATTGGGCGGCGGGTCTGGTGTCCCGCAGGGTTGCAGCTGGACAGAACCAGGGCTGTGTGGCCAGCGCCCTAGTTCAGAGGACTGGGGGGTTAGGGTTAGCTGGTCCCCACAACTCTCTCCCTCAGCCTCTGTGCTCGGGGCGCTGCCAGGGTGTGACGGGCTTGCTTCCCGCTGCCTCCAGCCTTACCTGTACGCAGGGACCCTTTTGCCCACCCCCACCCACCTCTTCAGGTTTGGACCCCAGAGGCTGTAGGTCTACAGGTGACACCTGGGGGAGGGGTTGAAGCACAGTAGGGAATGTGGGAAGAGCTTTATTCAGGGGCGAGTGTGCAGATGATCAGTCCCCCAGCAAGAGGGAGGCCTCACACACATGCTGCCTGACCACGCGGTCCAGCAGGGTGTGCACGTCCCGAGCAGCCCGGGAAGCAGTCTCCAGCACCCGCTCCAGGTGGTCCTCGTGCAGCCGAGCGTCCATCTCCAGGAGGGCAATCTGGCCTGAGGCTGGCAGTAGGGCCAGGGCCAGCTGGGGGCCACCAGCTGCCTCCTCCACGTGGCTCAAGTCCGCCAGGGCCGTGCCATCCACAAAGCCAGCAGAGCAGGCACACACGAAATCCCGCATAGGTATGCCAGCATCCAGCACGGCCAGAGTAGCTGCGTTCACACAAGCCGAGTATGTCCCACCATCTGCCTGCAGCACCTGCAAGGATTCCCAAGGCTATCAATGCAGCAGCTGCTGCCCACTAGCCCTCCTGCTCCCAGGCTGAGGGCTGCCTGCTCACCTGCACGTAGATGTCAATCTGTGAGCGAGGGTGCAGCTGGGTGAGGATGGCTGCTTCGAAGGTCTGGCGCAGCTGTAGGCCCATCTCGCAGGACTTGCGGTCCCCATGTGGCCGCCTCTTGCGCTCACCTGTGCTGAAGGTGGCGGAGCTGTACTGGCAATTCACCAGTGCACGGTCAGGCAAGGCTCGTGCCCGGGAGCCCCGGATCTGTGGAGGGAGGGCACATGAGCCAGGGCACCCTCCCAGCCCACATAACCCCAACCCCAGCCCTGCTCCTGACCTCCAGCATCACATGGTCACACCACTGGCAGCTATTTGACCTCTGAACATACTCCAGAGAGGATCACTTGGGTTATCTAGGCCACTATCATCACTCTGGCAATGGTAGCTCTCCTAACTGCCTCCCTTTCCCCGGACTTGCCGCCCCCCTTCCATGCCTTACTCCATTCGATGGCTGGTACTGTGTTTACCTTCAGGTTCACATATCCCACTCAGTGCCAAGGTTTCCTATCTGTGTGAGGTAAGCCCCAACCCTTCCCTTGCTCTAGGTGTCCTGATAGCATAGGTGGTTACAAGTTGGGCTTCTAACAAGGCCACAAGGTCAGCAGTTTGGACCTACCAGCTGCTCCAAAAGTTGAGGCTTTCTGCTCCTATAAAGATTCCTGATCTCAAAACCACAAAGGGGCAGTTCAGCGCGTCCTCCAGGGGTGTGATGAATCAGAATGGACTCGGGGGCAGAGTTTGGCAGGGTTTCCTTGGTCTACGAGGTCTTGAATCCTCTCCTTGTGGGAAGCCCCTCAGCTTCCTTTGGAATCCCTCCCTCCAAAAAACAAACAAACAAACAAAAAAACCCCAAACCAAAACTGCTTGGCAAGCACACCCTGCTGTGCCTACCTCCCAACCCCACTGTTCCCACCTTTCGTCCTGTGCTCTTCCAGTTCTTTCTGCTGGGAAAGCTGGGCCTCAGACTCAGTCACAAAGCAAATGTTTTTCCAGTGGCTCCATCACTATCACTATCACAGTGCTGGAGACATGACACAAAGTCAAGATGGTCCAAAGCCCCGCCATGGGGTTTACGTTCTTGTTAGGTACCAGTGAGTCAGCACTGACTCAGTGCTGCTACGTACAACAGAACTTCCTGGTCCTACATTATCCGTATAGCCCACGGATGTCGCCACGATGCCAATCCATTCTGCTGAGGGTCTTCCTCTTCTCTCCTCCCCCTCACCAAGCATGATGTCGCTCTCCACAGAACTGCTCTCTCCTGCTGACATGTCCAAAGCATGAGAGGCAAGTTTCACTACCTTTCCTTCCAAGCAGCATTCTGGTTGTACTTCCGATCCAGATGGGGTGGTTCGGGGGTACTGAATACTCTTCCCAAGGCAAACTCACTGCCATTGGTCGTATGACTTGAAGCGACCCTCTAGGGCATGGGAGAACTGTCCTGTGGGTTCCAAAACAGTAAACCTTTACAGGAGTAGAAAGTCTTATTTTGGGGGGGCAGAGAGATTAAGAGTTTCAAACTGCTGACCTTACGGTTAGCAGTCCATCACATAACCCACACACGACACCATCAGGGATCCTTAATATACTTTACCAACACCTCAATCCACATCGACCAATTATTTCTCCTTGTTCTCCACCCAGTTACCACATGCCTTTGAGGCAAGTGAAAATACCATGTCTTGGGTAAAATAGATCTTTGTCCTCAAAGGAACATCTTTGCTGATCAACAGTTTGAAGAGGTCCTTTGCAGCTGATTTGTCCAATATATGTCATTTTTTTAAAATTTGATTTCTTGACTATTGCGTCAATGGGCATTGATTGTAGATCCAAGTAAAATGAAATCCTTGACAATATCAAATGTCTCCATTTTTCATGATGCTGCTCATGGTCCAGCTGTGAGGATTTTTGTTTTCTTTATGTTGAAGTGTAATCTACACTGAAGGCTGTTGTCTGATAGTCATCAGTTGTTTTTTAAGTGAAGTTCTTTAGGCTTTCAGCAAGCAAGGTTGTGTTGTGCGCATGTCGCAGGTTGTTAGTGAGCCTTCCTCCAATTGTGATGTGGTGTTGTTCACATAGTCTAGTTTCTTGTATTTGCTCACCATTTAGATTAAGTAGGGTGAAAAGATACAGCCCGATGCACACCATTCTTGATTTTAAACCACGCATATTCTTGTTCTGTTAAAATAACCGTCTCTTGATTTATGCATAGATTCTGCCCGAGTTCAGTGAAGTACACTGAATTCTTATTCTCTGAAATGTTATCATTAATTTTGTAATGATCCACACAATCAAATGCTTTTGCAATAAAACATAGGCAAACATCTTCCTGGCATCATCAGCTCCTAGCCAAGATCCATATGACATCAACAATGATCTCTCTCATGCCGAGTCCTCTTCAGAAGCCAGCTTGAATTTCCTGGCAGTTTCCGGTTGCTGTACGGCTGCAACAGTTTGAAAATTATCTTCAGCAAAATTATACTTCGGTGCTAATTAATGCTATTGGTCAATAATTGCCACCTTCTCTCCCATCACCTTCCTCTGGAATAGACACTAATAAGGATCTCTTCCAGTCAGTTGGTCAGCCTTCCAGCGGGAGGACCGAGAAATTTCACCCATTTACGAAAGCTAAGTGAAGTGGGTATTTGAGGTGAAAGGCGCAACAGGGCGGAGACGAGGGGAAAGTGTGGGACCTGCGCAGGGGTCAGGGGGTCTGGTCGGGTGTTATCCAGGCGGTACCCAGAAGAGAGAAGGAACGAGCATGCTAAGCGTACGCGGCGACGAAAGCAGGGCGCACACACACAGACCGAGTGGAAAGGCGAGGCCGCAGAGCGGGCACCCGGGGTCGCCCCGCCTCACGACACGGATCGCCAGGCCGGATCCCAGCCCCCGCCCACTCGCCTCGTGCGGCCCGTAGACCACCGCCAACGCCTTGGTGTTGCCTTGTTCGATATAGGCCGAGCCGTCGGCCTGCGCAAACACGCCCATCCGCGCCTGGATCTTCCGCAGCTCCCCGGCGCGCCGCCCGTCCACCCGGTAGCCCTGGTCTGACAACAGCTCCAGGCCCGCCATGCCGCCCAGCCCGCTCTCGGACCACTACACCTCCCGGCGGCCCCGATCACTTCCGGTCCGTGCAGGCAGCTTCCGGTCCGTTGGCGACGGCTTCCGGCGCCTCGGTCCCTCTCGCCGTCGGGGGCAGTTCGTTTCCGGCGGTCCTCACTCAGCTTTGCCAGCTTCCGGGGCCCCTCGGGGCAGGCGTTGGGCCCGTCGCGCTGCGCCCCCGCGTCGGCAGGCCGAGCGTCGGGGCCGGGCGGCTCGGAGGGAAGCGCCGGCGCCGGACGCCGGGACGGCCCCCGCTCGGCGCACGCCGCAGCTCGCTCACGGCCGCGTTCCTTTGGGGAGCTTTTATTCCCGGTGCTTTGCTCCGTTGCCATGTCGGTGCCGCCTCCCCGTCGACCCGAGGAACCTAGTAAAGGGCGCTTCTCGCTTCCGCAGCCGGGGCCGTGCGAACTCGCGCCCTCTGCGCGCGGACTGCCGCGCGGCGGCGCGGGCCGGGGCCTGGTTACTTTTCCGGTGGGATCATCCCACACTGCAAAATGCCTCATGAATTGGTGTGTCGCTGAAGAATCCAAGTCCACCTCGGTTTACGTTCCCTCCCTAGATAGCCACTCAGACCAGTGTTGGATCTGAGGAGGAAGGAAGGAATCGGGGTTTTTAAGGCCGTCTTAAAAGTTATATATGCATATATATGTGAATTTTTTCAAAACTATGTATTCTTTTTAACAAAACAACCTTACCACCGTCAAAGCACGCTACATGACAATGCATTTGTCAAATCTGCGATTTCATTCTTGGAAACATTTTTCAAACTCATCGGTTTGGGTGGCTGATAGCACCTCCCTAATTTTTTTCTTCATCTCTTCTATGTTGTCGAATAGCTGTCCTTTCATGCCCCTCTGCATTCTCAGAAATAAAACGAAGCCGCACAGAGCAGGGTCAGGTGAGTAAGGTGCATGGGGCAAGAAAGGCATACTGCTTTTTGCCAAAAAATGCACCCTGAGATGGCTGGATGAGCAGGTGCATTTTCATGGTGGTGAAACCAGTTCCCCTTGTGCCACAAATCTGGTCTTTGTGGTCACACATTGTTACACAATCTTTTCAGACTCTAAGTCAGCGGTTCTCAACCTGTGGGTTGCGACCCCTTTGGGTGTTGAACAACCTTTCACAGGGGTCGCCCGATTCACAACAGTAGCAAAATTACAGTTATGAAGTAGCAACAAAAATAATTTTATGGTTGGGGGGGTCACCACATGAGGAACTACATTAAAGGGTTGCGGTATTAGGAAGGTTGAGAACCACTGCTCTAAATAGAAAGCTTGACTAACAGTCTGACTTGGTGGAATGAACTCCAAATGCACAAGTCAACATTTTTGACAGTTTGGGAAGTTGATGGACATCTAGAATGAGGTTTGTCATCAATTGACATTTCACCTTTTTTGAAATGAGAAAACTACATGTACAATTTTTTCCCCATAGCTCTGTCCTTGTAAGCTGTGTTCAACATCACAAGTTTTTTTTTCTGCGCAGGAAACAAAATTTCACCGCACACACTGTTCTCTTAAATTGGCCATCACAAAAATGAGGTTCAAGTGAAATTGCTTTCATAAAGAAATTCAATGTGACCACAGAGAACCTTCCCAGGCAATGCCACTGGGTGCACTGACTCAGAGCGAGTTGCTCCATGCTCACCTAGCAGGAAAAATATGTACTACAGAAGCTCTGCCCAGGGGAACTTTTTTTGGGGGGTACCCCGTGTGTGTGTGTATAATATTTAACATATATATAACACATTCAACTTAGTTGTACACCCCATGTCATCAAATCAATAATCATATCCCATTAACCCTATAATACCTGAATTTTTAATTTCAGGGGGAATGTTTTTCTGCTTTTATTCTTTGCTTTCATAGTTATCAATATATATAACAACCAAAATATATTTAAAAATATAAAATTTGCAATGTTTTTTAAATGTAACCAAATTGTCACATTCATCCATGGATTTATAATAAATTTATAATTAAATGTTACGGAAACATCACGCTCGGTGTTACAGGGTTACTGTGTCTCAAAGCATGGGCCTGTACCTGCTCTTATAGTCTCACCTGTAACTGAATAAATGCCTGACGTAGTTAGTTTATTGTGCCAACCTGGCCAATAAACACATGTGGGGTTAATTGAAGGGCAGAGAGATAAATGGCTCCGTGAGCCTCGCCTTTCTAGTTCTCGGGTCTCTTGCTTTCTGATGGTTGGACCAGGGTGCAGCTGCCTTAGCCAGTTCCCTGCTTTAGCTGGCAAAGCTCACTTCCTGCAAGACATCCCTGAGGAGACGCCACATGGACCTACCCTGATGCAGCCCTGGGTGCTGGAGCACCTGTGTGGAGACCCCTGCCAGCGCTGAGATGCTTACACATTCACTGATTCGGCTTTCCTCTTGCAGTCAGCATCATTGCATCTGTTTTGTGAGATGGAGGAGGACTTTGTGGATTGGTGTTGGACATAAGGGTTAATGGGTTAATGTTGGACTTGTGGGCTTGGGCAGCACTGGGTGTTGGGATGTTTTCTTGATGTGCACTTAACCTTTATATAAAAGGTTATATATAAAACTCTGTGGATTTGTTTCTCTAAAGTACCCAGACTAATACAATGTGGTTGTTTTTTACCCCCACTTCCATCCTCCCTCCATAATTTTCTTTTGGTGCTAAAATCACTTTTCTTTTTATGAAACCTTTCCAAATAACCCAGTGGCACTTTCATTAATTTTTTACTGGTTGCTTGATAGTTGGGGGAGGGGCAGTATCAGGATTATTTGAGGGTACAAAGGAGACCCCAAATTTCAAATATAATTTTAAGGAGAACATTAAGTCGTAAACAAGACCAAGACAAAACAGAGACAAAGACACCACTTGCCTGAGGCCTTAATGGCGTCGGGGTTTGCTGGGATTCAGGGACATAGAAAGGACATGGGAGGGTAAAGGAAACTTCCCCCAAAGCTATGATTGGTGGCAGATCAAACCTCAGTTACAGGTGAGACTACAAGAGCAGGAACAGGCCCATGCTTTGAGACACAGACATGTTGGACGGAAGCACCCACTAGATTGGTCACCAGGGCCTTCCCACCACGGCAGTCAAGCATGGCTCCTGACTCTGTGTCCCCATATGGGGTCTCCATCAAGGACACACCCAGGCAAGACTCTGAGGGAGACTGCCCTTCCCTGGGCTGTGACGTAGAGGTCATTTACTTTCCAGGGGGCTCTGCCTAAGAGCAGGATTGTCCCTGCCCCGAATAGGTGGTCAGAAGGGGATCAGTGGAGACTTCATCCACGTGGGGACCCTGCCAATGGGCTCGGGGTCCTCACGGTGACCCACAGGCTTCTGCAGCCTGGTGCTCAGCTCTAATCCTGCATGCAGCGTGGCCACTAGCTTAAGGGCTGAAGGTGTGTTTTAGTCTGGGTAGACTAGAGAAACAGATCCAGGGAGACTCATTTCTGTATAAGAAAGAGCTTTATGTACAAGAGCAATTGAATATTGAAAAAAACATCCCCGCCCAGTCCAGATCAAGTTCATAAGTCCTATATTGGCCCATATGTCCAATACCAATCTGTAAATTCCTCTTCAGACTCACAAAACGCATGCAATGACACCAAATGTGGGAAGATCACAGGCCAGCGGGTGCAGTCTTGTGGATCCAGTGGCGATAGAGGCATTTCTCCAGTGGCAGGGGTCTCCACATGGTTCCTTCATCTCTGAGGCTCTGACTGCCATCAGCCTGTCTCCAAGTGGCTTGTCAACAAGAATGTCTCTCTGGGAGTGAGCCTGCATCCCGCCTCCAGTGACCTATTTATCTCCTTAGTGCCCCTAACTGAGGTCCTCAAGCTGCAACCTGATTGACAGGCTAACCTCCACCCCGTCATTGGTAAGTCTCAAATTGACAACAGATCATGGAACTACCCTAGGGTGGGTTCAGGAGTAGGGTATCTGGGTGAAGATGATTTCCCTCCTCTTTCCCACTGAAAGAAGTAGACCCTGCCAGGCTCGGCGCTGCTCCACGTTGCTTCCTTATTCCAGCCCTGGTGGGGGCATTGATGGCTCACGCATTCGGATTTGCTCTCCCAGGAATTGCTGCTGCTGTGTCGACTGGAAGGAGAACTGGGGGCACCTCCTGTCCCCCATGTCCTGGTGCTCCCGGTTCCCCAGCGGAAGTTCATTTCCTGACCTTTGCAGAAGGCAGCCACTCCGAAGCCCCAAGGCACCCTATCCCATGACCAAGGATGCGAGTGGATGGACTGACAAAGTTGAGCACTGACACAGAACAGAGGCAGTATTCCAAGCGGCCTGAGAAGGCTCTCACGGCCGTGGCCAGCACTGACCACGCCTGCCACCGCTTCCATTCATAGTCCTCCCATTACACTGATGCAGTCAACGGCCCCCCTTTTTGCTTTGAGGATGAAGATACCTTCAATCTTTCCAAAATGTTGTGTGTACTGATATTGGGGCATAACAACTACCTCCCCAAGCCTCAGTGACTTGATATCATAGAACCATGTTCTTTGATGACTCCCTGCTCAGGGCTGGCTGGGGCTCAGCATGGGGGTTTGCACTTGGGACCTTCCAGCGAGTGCTGCCGGAGGGGCTGCTGCCATCTGGGGGGGGTTCCCCACTCACGTTGACAGGCTGACGCTGACTACAGGTTGGCATCTCATCTGGGGAGGCCAAGCATTTAGGCGACCTGGAAGTAAAAGTCACAAAATCTCCACAGACTTTTTAAAACTGAAAAATAAAATGTTTAGAACTAGCCAGCTGGACTTGATGGTCCCGATTTTGCTGGCAGTTCCTAAAGGTAGCGGAGTCCCCAGCCCGTGGGACACAAGCCTTCTTCTCGCTATTTGGTCCCACCAAAGTACTGAGCGTGGCTCGTTGATGTCTCAGAGCTTCTCCACAGCCTGCCGGGCACGCTGGTTGGTCTCGCCCTCGCGATAAGCACCTGTGTGTGGTTCTGTTGGACCATCTTCAGGAGGACTCAGTGATCAGGGGG